GTTCTGACTTAAAGCAATCAGAATTTCCCTCACCATTGGAACTGATAAAATGATCAGGGCCACTATCATTCTCATGCCAGTAACCCTGAAAGAGCTAGAATGCAGCAATCCTTGTGATCTGCTATTTTTCCCCGAAAAACCACAACTGCACACTGTAGTGTAGCAATATCCCTTTCACAAGAAGTTTAAACAACAGGTCAGTAGTTCCCTGGAATACAAGTTCCCACTTAAGATATTTATCCTTGTTCCCCAAAACCATAAGTGGCACAAATCTGAAGTTGAACACTAGTAAAGAAGGTAATGTTATTTTTTTAAATATATGACAGCAGATTGAGTCACAATTCTTATTACACATATAGGACACAATTTTTTTCATACCTCTGTTTGTATATGAAGTATGTTCACACCAATTCATGTCTTCATACATGTACTTTAGATAATGATGTTCATAACATTCCACCATCATTGCTAAGCCCATGCCCCCCTCCCATCCCTCTTCCCTATCTAGAGTTTGTCTATTCCTCCCATACTCCCACTCCCTACCCTACTATGAGTCAGTCACCTTATATCAGAGAAAACATTCGACATTTGTTTTGGGGGGATTGGCTAACTTCACTTAGCATTATCTTCTCCAGCTACATCCATTTACCTGCAAATGTCGTGATTTTATTGTCTTTTATTGCTGAGTAAAATTCCATTGTGTATATATGCCACATTTTTAAAATTCTTTCATCTACTGAGGGGCATCTAGTTCGGTTCCGCAGTTTAGCTATTATGAATTGTGCTGCTGTAAACATTGATGTGGCTGTGTCCCTATAGTATACTGTTTTTAAGTCCTTTGGGTATAGACCGAGGAGAGAAATAGCTGGGTCAAATGGTGGTTCCATCCCAAGTTTTGCAAGGAATCTCCATACTTCTTTCCATATTGGCTGCACCAATTTGTAGTCCCACCAGCAATGTATGAGTGTGCCTTCCCCCCACATCCTCACCAACACTTATTGTTTGCCTTCATAATAGCTGCCATTCTGACTGGAGTGAGATGGTATCTTAGAGAAATGCAAATCAAAACTACTCTAATTGCTAGAGATGATGAACATTTTTTCATATATTTGTTGATTGAATATCCTCTTCTGAGAAGTGTCTGTTCAGGTCCTTGGCCCATTTATTGATTGGGTTACTTGTGTTTTTGGTATTTAGATTTTTTAGTTCTTTATATACCCTAGAGATTAGTGCTCTCTCTATCTGATGTGTGAGGGGTAAAAATTTACTCCCAGGATGTAGGCTCTCTGTTCACCTCACAGATTGTTTCTTTTGCTGAGAAGAAACTTTTTAGTTTGAGTCCATTCCATTTATTGATTCTTGGTTTTAATTCTTGTACTACAGGAGTCTTATTAAGGAAGTTGGGGCCTAATCTCACATGATGAAGATTAGGACCTACTTTTTCTTCTATTAGACACAGAGTCTCTGGTTTAATCCCTAGATCCATGATCCATTTTGCGTTAAGTTTTAAGCATGATGAGAGATAGGGGTTGCATATGGATTTCCAGTTTTCCCAGCACCATTTGTTGAAGATGCTATCTTTTCTCCAATGCATGTTTTTGGCAACTTTGTCTAATATAAGATAATTGTAATTTTGTGGGTTAGTCTGTGTGTCCTGTATTCTGTACCATTGGTCTACCACTCTGTTTTGGTGCCAATAGCATGCTGTTTTTGTTACTATTGCTCTATAATATAGTTTAAGGTCTGGTATAGTGATGCCACCTACTTCACTCATCCTGCTAAGGATTGCTTTAGATATTCTGGTTCTTTTATTTTTCCAGATGAATTTCATGATTGCTTTTTCTATTTCTATGAGGAATGCCATTGAGATTTTGATTGGAATTGCATTAAATCTGTATAGTGCTTTTGGTAGTATGGTCATTTTGATAATATTAATTCTGCCTATCCAAGAGCAAGGTAGATCTTTCCATCTTCTAAGGTCTTATTTGATTTCTTTCCTTAGGGTTCTGTAGTTTTCATTGTATAGATCTTTCACCTCTTTCATTGATTCCCAAGTATTTTTTTTTTGAGGCTATTGTAAATGGGATAGTTTTCCTAATTTCCCTCTCAGAGGATTTGTCATGGATATACAGAAATGCCTTTAATTTATGGGTGTTGATTTCATAACCTGCTACTTTGCTCAATTCATTTACTAGTTCTAGAAGTTTAAAAAAAAAGAAGGTAATGTTATTATAGATACAGTCCAAGTGTTCTTCTCCATGCAGTTTTTCTTTTTATATAATCATAGCACTCATGAAGTAATATTAAGGAATTGTCTGAATCCATCAAACTGCTTATGAACAAGAGAACATGAGCCCAGCCTGGGATTTGAGAATTTATTCCATTTTAACTTACCAGAGGAAGAGCTTTAAGAATTTACCTCTTCTAAATCCAAACAGTTACTAACCAAAATCAGTACCAAAGGAATTTAATATAATTTTCCCCCTACTTTGGACAGTCAGTCATTGCATAAGACCCCTTCACTTCATAGTAGTATTTTTGAACTATGTCTTCATGAGACTTATTTCCTCACTTATCTTAAGACCTGTGAAAAGCTCATTCTTAATTAGAACTTTGGGGACATAGCTTAGTGGTAGAGTGTTTGCCTAACAAGCATAAAGCCCTGGGTTCAATCCCCAGCACTGTCAAAAATAAAATAAATAAAAATAAGACTTTCTCTGTATCCTGAATTTTTTTCATAGTCTTTCACGAAATGTATATATACCCTTAATAAGTTAGTTTTTAAACTATTAAGGGTGATAAATATCATGCCCCAACTAAGGTACTCTCTTAAATTAGACAAAACTTAATCTACAAAATCTCTATAGATATACATAACTAAAGAAGAAACATTGCACTCTGAGTGAGATGATCAAGTCAGAGCCGTAATCCACTAAAACTTTTCAATAAAGCCTTTTGGCGTTTCTGTGTGTGTGATTTCATTCTACAATTATATATTTCCAGATTCTTCCTTTTTGGCATTTTGTTGTTGTCTGTCCTATTCAAGCATGTGCTTGAATAGATGTTTGAGGTTTAATGCTTAAAGGTTGTTGGCTGCAAAATAACCATCAGTGAAGCCAGTCTTTCCCCGTCATGTTGGAGTAGCAAGTAGAATTCGCTACTGCCTTTTCTCAAATTCCAGAGCATGTGTGTGGTTTTTGGAGTGGTGTGGAGATCTCTCCTTCTAGTATTGTTGCTAACCTGTATACCACATCCTTTAGGGAGAGGAAGCAAAAAACATTCCTGGTGAATCTATCACAGAAGAACAATTCACTGATGAAGAAGGCAACCTCATCACCAGAAAAGTAATTAATCATCAATGAGTTTTATGCTTCTCTTGGAATTTAAATTTTCTGCATTAAAAATCACATGATTTTCATACTATAGGGTCACCTCTTAAAACAGAAAAATCTCTATTGTTCACTATTGCTTCCTGCAGATCACTCGGAAAGTAATAAGACGAATTATCCCACAAGAGAGAAAACAGGATGAAGTGGTAATACAGAGAGACTGCCAAGGAAAAAGTAGATGATAAAAGCTTTGTGCACTCCATAAAAAAGCTGCTAACGGACTGGCATCTGCAGTGTGGCAGCTTGAAGCATTTGCTGCTTTTGATATATGCATTTGACCAGGGTCAAATTAAAAGGCTTTTCTTCCTAACATTCCTTAATGTTATATATTTTTTACTATCTTCCTTCACAAACATGAGTTCATTTATTTGGTGACAGAATGTGCTAGTTTGAAAGAGAGGAAGATAATAAAACCTTTTGCCACCTACAAACCCCCCTTGGGAGTGGCCAAGCCCTAAACAGGACTGACCTTCAACTGAGTGCCTGCCTGGGAAATGGATGGAGTACACTCCAAAGGACAGGAGTTGAATAGCTGGGTGGCAAAAGCTCAGTTCATAATCCTGATATCAGATCCATACATTTTCCCTTTCCAAAATATTCTACGGGGAAATCTGAATTACATTTTTGCCTAAAGAGGTTCCCCTCTTTAGGTTTCCCTATTTCCAATGTGCCAGTACAAAACCAGACTCAACACTGAGCAGTGCAGTTCACCCAATAAAGCCCCATCTCTCAAAGAAAACATCTAGTTATTTATCATTTGTTTCCCACATTTTTACCCTTTCTTATTTATTTTTGTATTTTTAATTGTAGATTGACACAATACCTTTATTTTTTTTATATGGTGCTAAGGTTCAAACCCAGTGCCTCACGTATGCTAGGCAAGCGCTCTACCACTGAGCTACCACTCCATTCCTACCCTTTCTTATTTAGTAGATTATGTTTACATAAGAAAAAAGTGAAAATTTCTCAGGACTACATGAGAAAAAAAATCAAAGGATATTTTCTGTTACATATAGGATAAAAACTAGTATTTGTACAAAAGCCTCACTCTCAAGAGAAATGTGTTCCTGGGGTTCAGTGAAGAAAGATCTTGTTTTATGGAAAATCAATGCCGCCTTGGTCTAGGAACAAGGGGACTGTCTTGGTAATTCTACAGACCTCAGAAGAAGAACAGACCCTCAGATCTATAGCATTTCCATGTTATTTAGTTCTTGATTAGTGCTTTACTGAGAAATTTCTTTCTCATTATATCATAACTTCAAGTTCAGCTGGCTTAAAAAATCACAAATTGTGATTTTTTTTTAATTGGGGTTTGGTTGTCTTGTGAGCTTTAATGACAATTTCTTGTAGATTTTTTTTAAATGTATCACTAACCTGCTGAATTATTGTGAAGTACAGTTATCTCATATTTATCTTTATGGTGCTTTTGCTTGCTTCCATGATGCTAAGCTGTGTGGTTAAGCCAAAGAGATTGTATGTCTTTTTGGATTTGAAGTAACAAAGTGCTTTAAACAGTTTCATTTATCCTAATCCAGCTTCCAGGGACCAGAGTGGAAACTATAACTAAAACTCTTTCACCACAAAATCTTAACATGTACATTCCTTTTAAAGCAGGGAGAAGGTTATAAGGTGAAGATGAAGAAAGAAATACGGCATGTGGAAAAGAAGAGCCACTCCTAACAGTGAACAGTCAGTCAAGGTGTGAAGTGTGCTCCTATCCAAGACAGAGGGACTTGAATTCCTCTGAAGCTTCTAAATTTCCCTTAAAAAAGTGATTCAGATCTTCCCCTTCATCCTTTTCACTGAATTTCAACTTGGAAAAATCCAATGAGTTGTTCACTTTCTTTTTATGTTTTTGGAGGCATACACACACACGCTTCACTCTAATTATAGTCCATAAATTCTCTCCTTGAAAATTAGGCAGGAATTTAAATATAAATGATATCTGCAAAAGTAAATAGTAATTTTTGAGTCTTCTGTTCTCCAAGAGCAGAAGCTCACTATGAAATGCAGTAGGCATATATAATCTAACAGGAAGATTATTCAGCAACAAATAATTCTCACAAATGTACTCTTCAGAGTTGTATTAATTAGGCTTTCACAATTTTAGCATCTGAGGATATACTTTTGGTTGAAAGATAGTACCAAGTCAAAATAAGTCAAGTTCTTGTTTTATATTAAAAACAAAAAATATGTAGTTAATTAAATGGAACGCTGTTTTGAGTACTGGGGCTTAAATTCAAGGCCTCATGCTGGCTAGGCATGTTCTTTACCACTGAGCTATATCCCCAGTACTTTTTTGAGACAGGGTCTTGCAACGTTACCAAGGTTCTCACTAAATACCTAAGGTGGCCTTGAGCTTGTGATTCTCCTGCCTTAGCATCCCAAATCACTGGGATTATAGGCAGGTGACACTACACTCAGCTGTTTTAATTTTTTTAAAAAAATGTTAATAAGTGAACTTTCTTTAAATTTTCTAGACTTTACAACTGACATTACTTTAATATTGTTTTTCTGAATTTTTACATTGACCTGTTTCTTTCTACTTGGCTACAATTAGTAAGGCCATTTGGGGGCTGGGCATGGTTGCACACACAATCCCAGCTAGTGAGGAGGCTGAGGCAAGAGGAGTATAAGCTCAAGGTGAGCCTGGCAATTTAGTGAGATCCTGTCTCAAAATAAGAAGAGCTGGGGATGTAGCTTAGTAGTACAGCACTTGTCTGGCTCTGGGTTCAATCCCAGACCCTGAGTTCAATCCCCAATAGTGGAAAAAAAAATTTAAAAGGGGCATTTAAGGTGAAAAAACAATTTTGAAAAGTTCCCTATAACTCTGAAAGGAAAGCAGAATCATGTCTTCAGGGCCATTCACTTTTATCTTCTAAGCCCCATGGACAATTTTTACTTTCATGTATTTGCTGTTTTGTACCTACTGAAAATACTGGTATTTGGTGTACTCAGGTAAGGAACTGAGAAATAATCTAGTTTTGGTATGCCTAAATTTATATGTGAGGATACTAAGACCCTCCTAAATTCTTAGTTTCCCCCCCATCATATTTTATCATTTGTTTATTCACTCTTATTTCACCTCCTATGAGGTTTTCTACCCGAGCACAGAATTCACTGGTAAGCAACACTTAACATGGTAATAACCCTAACTGATCCATTTGAGAGATTTAATGGTAACCAAACTTAACTAATCAATCACATCAGTTTTGATGGCATTGAGGGAAAAAAATGGCAGAAATAGGATGGAAACCCTAATTATCTGCTTTCAGTGCCCATATTCTCAATGTTTATTAGGGCCTTCACCTGGGTCTGAATGGTGACAGGGAAACTTTCCTTGAGAATGTCACATGTGGGCTGTTTTAATGGATGAATAGGATTATTTGTCTCTTTAAGGATTCTGGTCTTCACTCTAAATCTAAAAGTCTTAAGGCAAGGGTGGAATATAAACCCAATTTCTTTTCTTTATTACTCACTCCAGATGCAAGTTAGAAATGAACTGGAGGGAGCAATAATGGATGAGTGAGACATCTGTTGAGAGACTATTGCACATGCTAGCTTTTGGACATTACTGGCTTTTTATTTGATGAGAAGGGTGATAAATAAAATTCAGGATGACATCAGTGTAGCAATGTCTAATAAGAACCCATCTATCATGCAAGTTCTATTATTGAACTGGTAAAAGACTAATTTGTATAACAGATTTCTAAAATACTGAGTTTGGTATCTTAAACAACTCTAAGTGCTAAATGAAATATAAGAAGGTTCAGTCCATTTCAGTACAACCCTGAGAGTTTAGCAACTTGTTCAGTCATATACACAGATTCCAAGTGGGAAAGAACCAGAAAGATCACTAATATCAACTGAGCCATTTTTCTACAGTGACATATACCTAGGATTTGTGAATAAATAATGCCAAAAGAATATATTGATGGTACTAAGCTTTTTAAATTAAAATTAAATTTAAATTTCTACATTAACATGTTAATATAGAAACTACTTGGTTACTGAATATACAAGCAGTTTTATGATTATAAATAATCACTATGTAAAGAGGTTGTCAGAGTTGGGCATGGTGGTGCATGCAATCCTAGCTACTCACGAGACTAAGAGAGGAGGATCTCAAATTTGAGGTCAGCCTCAGCATCTTGGCAAGACCCTCAGCAACTAAGAAAAACCTATCTCAAAATAAAATTTTAAAATGAGAGCTGGGTATAGCTCAGTCGTAGAGTATTTGCCTAGTATGTGTGAGGCCCTGGGTTTGATCTCCAGTATTGCAAAGTTGTCATGTTCACTTGCCTTCAAGAAACAGATTTTCCAGTAGATTATTCATATGAATGTGAAAATAATTTCAATAGAAAGCAAACAACATGTCAGATGGAATGAACAGTCATGTGGCAGGTGGCCTAATTCTACTTTCCAGGGTGATTTTTACCTTCCATTACGTGAACTTAGGAATTGAGTTCCAGAATATTGCCTGGAATTCCCGGACATTGAATGTAATACTCTGGAAAAAAAATCAATTTGCAAATATATTTAAGTCTTTACAGTCCTGCTGGCTGCTTTCCTTTTAAAATAAAAAAAACAAAGCAAGTGGAATGCTGCCCAGTTTCACTGAATCTCTGACAGAATCTCAGAAATTTTTATTTCACATTCTAGAGCCAGTTGACTTCTCAGCTATCTAAACCCCACACCTGCTTTTCTTTAATATGGAGTCACAGCCATCCTGGTTTGTTTGTTGTTGTTGGTACTGGAGGTTGAACTCAGGGGCACTTAACCTCTAAGCCCTATCCCCAGCCCTATTTTGCATTTTATTTAGAGACAGGGTCTCACTGAGTTGCTTAGCACCTCACCATTGCTGAGGCTGGCTTTGATCCTCCTGTCTCAACCTCTGGAGTAGCTGGGATTATAGGCATCTGCCACCGTGCCCAGCTCATCCTGTTTTTAATGGCAAAGATTTCTTTATAGTGTAAGTTTATTTATAGATTACAAGGTAATATTTTTGTGTAATCCTTCAAATAAATGTTTAGGCAGGCCAGGCCAATTGTGCTTGCAACCCTTTACAGATGAGAATAATAAAGCTCAGAAGTCAGGTGATATGTTTACTGTCATACAGCTTAGGACTGGTAGAGACAGGACTTGAATGCAAGATTATTGATACTCAATCCATTACTCTATCATACTGAGCTTCTAAAAATGTTTATGCATCGAAGTGATTTCCTGTTAAATGACTATTGTATGGCAGGCACTAGGAAAAATCTTTTACATTACCTCATATAATTACTTAAAAAAAAATGCCATTGGGTTGTTTTTTGAAATAAAAAAAATATTTGGAAAAGTTAAATGACTTACCCAAGATCCCACCACTAAGAATGAACTCATCTAAAACCTAAGTTCTTAAATAGTACTCGCATTCATTAATAGAGATTTAAATACAAAATTTAAGTCAAATACATGTACAAAGGAGCTTACAGTAAATTTTTTCATACTCTACACAAGGAAAATACTCTCTTTTGTCCTTTTTTTTTAAAAAAAAAAAAAAGCATGGTTTCATTTTTAATGTATCCATAATCTCCAGATTTTTACTTCAGATAATATTAAAGGGCCGATTAGTGAGGTTGGGGCAAGGGAACATCCTCAGATCAAAGCCATGACAAAGACTTACATTGACAAATAGCTACATTCCATACCCCCTTTGATAAAATTCTGAGGCTCTCACTCAACATATGGAAGCCAAGAGAATCTCAGCTTGATAGTGCAGTCCCTCATCTGAGGTCAAAAAGTTGACTAATTTAATTCATTCCTTCAAAGACCTTCTACCTGGCTCAGAGTAGAAGAGCTAGATATACAACAGTTACAAAACCTCTATGGTCCCTGCCTTTCTAGATTTCCTAGTCCACAACTGTGAAAGAGATGGGACAAATAATTAAGCTCCCAAATTATAAAGTTCAAGATCCAATGAAAAAAATGTATACACAGATTTGAGAGTTAGGAAAATCTCTCTGAAGTCATGACATTTAAGAACTCCTCAGTGATGGCAACTAGGAAAAGAATGATGAGAACTACAAAGGATACAGCATGTAGGGGGCACTAAGGTTTAAAAAAAAAAAAAAAAAAAAAAAGTATGCCACATTTGAGGAAATCATTGTACCAGAACCTTGAGATAGGGTGAGGCAGACACAAGATAAATTTTGAAATGCAGAATCCCTTAGAGCCCTGTAGGTTAAAGGAAATGATGACACTCCATTCTAAGATCAATCTAAGTGAGATCCTGACCTTTTTTTTCTTTTTTCTTTTCTTTTTTTTTTTTTTTAAAGAGCATACTGTGTTAGAGAATGGATAAGAGAATAAAATTAAGGTGACCTGTTAGGAAGTTATTGCTATAGCTTGGTTAAGCTATAATGTGGACTTGGGCTAGATTTGAGCAATAGTTTCAGGAAGATCTATAGAACTTGTAGATTAACTCTGGGGTAGGGTTAATTCTAGAAGAACTCCCAGGTTTGTGGTATAAGCAACTGGATGATACAGAAAGCAGAAGTGGAAGAGAAATGGATTTTTTTAAATTTTTAGTTGTACTGGAACTCAATATCTTTATTTTATTTATTTATTTATATGTGGTGCTGAGGATCGAACCCAGGGCCTCACACGTGCTAGGAGAGCTCTCTACCACTGAGCCACAACCCCAGCCCCGAGAAA